CATAGCAGTGACCCCCAACACCAATCCCCACACCCCAGGCCCTTGGAACCCCCACAGCACCCCCCTTACGGCCCGTGGCACGTTCGGACGGGGGGAGTCTGTACGCCCGTACGGACGGCTGTACGTCCGTCCGTACGGCCCGTACGAGAACCCCCGGTACGACGTACGAGCGACGACACAGGTCGGGTTCGACAGCGGGAGGAGGGGCCCACGAGGGGGGACGAGGAGGTTGTGAGGTCGCACAAGGGGGAGGAAGGGGGAGAGAGAGAGAGAGAGACAGAGACAGAGAGATGTTCGCTAACACGAAACTCCAAGAAAAGCATGCCTAAGACAGACATTTCCGAAGAGTGCGTGTGTGAGTGGGAGAGAGAGGGAGAGAGAGAGAGTGAGAAGAGAGAGAGAAGAGAGAGAGAGAGAGAATGCTAAGTGAATGGATCAAGAAAGAGCAAAGGAGGGAAGGCCAGGTCAGTTGAAGTTCGCACCCTTGTCAAAGCGAGGTCTATTCCGAAACTTGTTCTTTCCGAAGTCAAGTTCCTAGTGCGTTTTTCAGTTGAAGTTCGTTCTTTTTCAAAGCGCAATCTATTCCGAAATTTGATCTTGTCGAGGTCAAGTACCTGGCCTGTTTTTTCAGTTGAAGTCTGTCAAGTACCCGGTCCGTTTTTCAGTAGAAGTTCGCTCTTTTCCAAAGCGCAGTCTGTTCCGAAGTTTGTTCTTTTTCAAAGTCGAGTGCTTTTTTTTCTGTTGAAGTTCATTCTTTGTTCTTTTTGGAGTCAAGCGCTGTCGAGCGCATCGGTCTGGCACCGGACACGGCAGCGCGGGACCCTCCCGACCGCGTCACGCAAGAGTTGGTTTTAAATCCTTCGTCGCGAATATACATGGAGCTTCAGCAAGCCGCTCCGGCCGAGTGCGCCATCCATACCACTCGCGAGCCCCTACGACAGGATAAGGTCTACGTGAGACATAACTTACCTCCACCTTACGGGAGTTGTCACCTCCCTTCGGTGGGCGTATCCCCGCCGAGCTACCAGTCCACAGTACGAAAGCTAATCAGTTGCAATCGTAGAGGTCGACCAGCCGAGGGCGTTTCTCGTTCGCTGTAGCATAGGGGGTACGCGCGGTAATACGCCTCTATCGGACCCGCACGCGGGCCGACATCTTGGGGGGCTGAGGTCCCAAGCGCGACTCGTCGTCGGTCGACTAGGACGCATCCCACACACCACACGCACACCACTTTAGGAACACAAAAATAAGACACACACACACACACACACACATACGAAAAAACACAATCACAAACAACGCGACAACGCTCCTAGCCCCTCAGTAGCCAACCCATAACTTTCCAATGCGGAAATCGAATGGGCATCGCGCGCGAGACTTAGTATAAAATCGCGCGGACACAGGGCTAACTCATATCGACTCGCAATGCAAGCGTACGCAAGCAGTCGCAATGATGGCGTACTATGTAGTTCCCATAATCAAGCGGTCCCTCGTGGATCCGAGTTCCGCTTATGACACTCAAGTGTCAGACTCGAAGTGTCGTGAGGGTTTAATCCCTCACGACATTGCATGGCTGAAGGAATAGTCGTGCAACCGCCACGAGACCTTCGGCCTTTGGTTAGAGCGTCTCGGTAGGCAAGGCAAATAGGCTTTGCACGGGGGCAGATTCCTTCCCTGCAGAGCCTAGGGCTTGGGATGTCCTAGACAAGGACCTCGAATCCCGGCCCAGGACCAACGTCCGACTATAAAAATCTCTAAAAAGCAAATTTGTTTAACCCTTACGCGCGGTCCAAGTAGGCCTCACGAAATACTCGAGACATATATATACACATATATAATTAGGATTATTAATATAGGACAATCACTTCTCACAGTCACAGTGGGACTCCTCTCAGCCATATATATATGTATGTGAGCGCAGGCAGTCAAATCCCAAGTTCGAATCACCAAGCGTACCTGCAATCACATCAAAGATTCAACCAGAAAGTCCATGCAGTACACAGGGTCAACTTCAACCATTCTCTGTACGCATACCCCTTGCTTTAACCATGCAAACCTCAACCTCTGCGCAACCTCCCCAGCAATACAATACTCAGTAACTTTGTTAAATGGTCATTCAATAAAGTCGGGGTAAAAACACAACAAAACAGATCAAACCATAGGGCTTAAGCCTTTAGGTTGAGTGGCAGGAGTGAATTGGAGTTGAATCATAAACCGACGAATCGGCAACCGACCTGTTATCAGTGATAACAGAGGATGACCCTCGAGGGATCAAGCTGAATATAGTCCTCAAATTGAATCAAACGATCGAGAGGACCTGTAACACATGACAGGTCAATGTCCCAAGCTAGACCTATAAGTCCATGGGGAACAATCTCCATATCATAATCTCACTCAAATCATCCTGGTTAACTATATCTAAGTCTACCTCTAAGCAAGTGCGCAAACAAAGGTAGACTCATGGCAGGATGTCCCCTATTCATGGTGAACTACCAGAATCGCCACCTGTCAAAATATAATCCATCTCCTTTAAACAAAGAAAATTTCGGTAGCGCTTCCCATAGGAAAAGCGCATTTTCAGAATTTATATAAGTCCAAATATGAAAGCACCAATAATCTTTAATTCTGGAAAGTCAAATTTTGTTTAACTCCCTGAATTAGTACAAATTTGGGTAGCACTCCTTTTAAAAAGAGACTTCCCAGATTTATACTAAGTCGGATATGAACTCAAAAGACGACTCGAGTTCAACTCAGACAAGATTTAACCAACTCCTTAGTTTTGCAGAAATTTCGGCAGCACTCCTTTTAAAAAAGTGTTATTCCAAAATTTATACAAAGCTAAGTCCAGAACTTGAGAATAACTTTGACTTCTCAAAATCCAATTTTGTCTAACTCCCTGAATTAACAAAAATTTGGGCAGCGCTCCCTTTAGAAAAGGAGA